TTATCCCTCAGCCTGTGCATCTGAAACACAAACTGTTCTTTCCCTGGAGAGATAAAGGCCCTGATTTCACCCAGCCATTGTGCCACGGCCACGGCTGAACGCTCCCCGGGATCCAGCTCCCCCCTCAAACCCTTCCTGAGCTGCTTTCTGGCCAGGCTGGAGCTGAACAAAGATCTGCTGGAATGCCTCAGAGCCCGGGTTTGCACTTGGCAAGGGCCCATCTCTTTCAGTCACACCAGGGGCACCACCCAAAAGCCTTTTGTGGCCAAGTGCGTTCGCTTACCTTTTTAATTTTCCGATATTCCTGTAAAATTTGATCATGGATGGTCTAAAACAAAAAAAAAAAAAGAAAAAGAAAAATAGGTTTATTATTTTCAGTTCTGCCACCTCTTGCAGCAGGAAATATTTACTGGTGGCTCTGAGTTCCAACCAGAACCTGCTCCCTCCACGACTTCCTCGGGGGAGATCTGATGGTTGCAACCAGCCCCTGATTCCATGGACGTACTGGAGCTGACCCCAAAGCACCGGGAGGATCAGGCCCCACTCCCCAGCTACGAGAGCTACCTGTAACAGGCACCTCAAATCTGACATTTCCAAAGCTCCAACTGATTGTTCTCCCCCCCCCCCCCCCCAAATATAACACCAACCCAGCGAGGGATCCTCGAATTCTGCAAGGAGAGGGGAGGGAGGGATGTCTGAGGGGAAGCTTCAGCACAATAGGTGCTCTGTAAAAACCCGTTTATTGTACTCCACGAGGCTCACTTTTTTCAAGCTAATGAATAGCTGAAACTCCTTAAAAATCACCCTGACAAGTCCAATAACGGTGCACTGCGAAGATCAAAGATTCCAGAGGAGCAGATGACCCCGTGCTAACTCCCCTCGCAGCCCCGATACGCTCCCACATGTGCAAATCTGAGTTTTTCTGGCTGGGATACACTAATAGCTTCCAGCAGCTTTTTGGCCGAGGACGCCAATTGTCTCACTGAGGCCTTTCCTTGTCAACAAGTCCCATGATGTGGCTCCAGCCTGGAAAGGGAGCAGCACAGAGCTGGGAGAAGGGCTTAGACCCCAAAAGCTGTCAGCTGCGTGCACGTTCTCCACCGGGTCCCGAGTGGAATTCAGGCACCAAAAAGACAGGGGCAGGAACAAGGGGGGGGTGTTTTAAAAGCTTATTTCTGCCTGTTTGTACCTTGTACTCTTCAGAGCCCTGCAAAAGCTGCTTGAGCTTGGCGTCCAGCTGCGTGAAGCGCCGGGTTATCCGCTCTATCCGGGCGTGCAAGTCCCTGTACTCGTTGTATTCCGCGTTGAAGTCGTTCTTGTAGCTCTGACGCTGCTCCGAGGAGGAAATGGCTGCGTATTTTCTGCAGGGGGGGAGGGGGGGAAAGAAAAGGGTTTGGGGGAATTGGGGTTAAGGGAGGGTTCCCTCTGGCTGATTGGAAACCGAGTTGTGGACGGTTTAGAATCAGGGGATGGTTTGGGTGGGATACTGGGAAGGAGTCGTTGGACTGTGAGGGTGGGGAGGCTCTGGAATGGTTTTCCCAGAGAAGATGTGGCTGCCCCTGCCCTGGATGTGCTCCAGGTCAGGCTGGATGGTGCTTGGAGCAACCTGGGATAGGGGAAGGTGGCCCTGCCCGTGGCAGGGGGTGGAATGGGATGAGTTTTAAGGTCCCTTCCCACCCTGAACCGGTCTGGGATTTCTGGGATTAAGGTTGGAAAAGCCCTCCAAGATCAAATCCAACCACTCCCCCAGCACTGCCAAGCCCACCACTAAACCACCTTCCCAAGTGTCTCGATTCCCCCCAGGGATGGTGATTCCCTGTTCCAGTGAAGGAATTTTCCCTCCTACCCAATCTAAACCCCTGCTCCCCTGTGCTGTTTCCTCTCCTCCTGATTTTGCACCACAGCAGCGAATTCGGGAGGTAACCGTGGGGATTGCTGCCTTGACCTCCCTGCGAAACAAAACACTGTTTGCTCCCAAACCCTCCTAATCTCTCTGCCAGATAGCGTGGAATATGCAGGTACACAAAAAGCCTGGGAGCAGCTGTGGGTGGAGGAAGACGCTCCGATAGCGCTGCTACAGCTTTTCTAACTCCTGCTGTCCCGCAGAACATGGAGTTCTGCGTCTGTGCCAGGCATTGGAACAGCAGGAATACGCTGCTTCCCAGCGCTAAGCCTTTAAGGGGAACACAAAAAAGCATTGAGCCATCGTTGCAAAACGCTCTCGGGGCGATTATGTGGCAAGAGCACACGAGCAGAAGCCACGGTGAGGAGCTGGACTTCATTTCCAGCACCTTCTGCAGGGCACGGCACACAAACACACACACACACACGAGCTCGGGCTGAGCAGATGTGCCCCTGGGGCCCTTTGGAGGTGATTCAGCTCAACAAAAAAAAGCCATTAAACCTGACATTTACGGCCCTCTCCGAAGGTAAAGCTCATCTTTTGGGATGAGTTTGCCTCCCCCAGCTCGCTCCTTGAACGCTTAAGAAGGTAATTCAGGCCTCAAATTAGGGGGGAAATTTTCACTCTTTTAACTTTTTAAGCACTTTTTAAGTGCTTTAGCCTTCAAGTACTGACTCCTTGCTGCAAGCTGGGATAAAGGAGCATCAACACAGGACAGGAGGCAAGTCCTCTACCAGCACAGAACATTCACCTTCACGATTAAAACAGCTCTTAAAATGTGAGACAGCTCCTGTAATTTAGGGATCGGGCCATCAAAACAATTGGATCCCACCAGAAGGTGAGACCACAGAGCTCAGAAACCTCCCACTGATGCTGTGGAGAGGGACCAAGGAGCTGTGATACTCCTCTGTAGGAGGGACCGGCACATCTGGGAAAGAACCCCCCACCCCCTCCCCCAGCCACCCAAATTCCTCTGAATGGCCCTAAAAGTGTCGCCCTGAGGGGGCTGTTTGGGGTTCACAGAGCCCAGAAAACCAGCAACCACACGAGAAGCCTTTCACTCCTCCAGGCAGCTGCAGGGACTCCCTCCTCTTGCTGCTCCATCCCTTCCCTCCAGTGGTGATGGAATCAAACCCCGGGCACAGGGAATGTCCCTCCCCCCATCCCAAAGCTTTGCCTGGAACAGGTTTGGGGTTTATGCAGATCCTGGGCTTTGTGCACGGGGGATTTTTTTTTTTTTTTTTTTTGGAGTGGAATTTATTTCTCACAGATTGTTTCATTAACCTCGAGGGGATCTGATTAAAGAGTCAAGAGGTGAAACAACTCACATCCCCAACCCGGGGGTTATAACCTCCCCTCAAAGAATATTTCACTGGTTTATGCAGATGATCTTGGCTCTGGAGAGGGGAAGAATTAGCAAACCTCCCCAAATCCTTCCTTGCCTTGTCTTCCATAACATTAAAGCAGATTATTTCCTCTCCAATTTCCCAGCTGTAACATGGAGATGTTTAATCCTTTCAAGCCCCTCCAAGGCATAAAATGTTTCTTGAACTACTTCAACCATCGGTTTACAGGAGATAAACCTGAACACTCCACAGGGAGGCAAAGAACTGATCTGATACCAAGTTAAGTCTCAGAAACTCTGCAAAGCTGGATTTACTTTTTTTTTTTTTAAACCCACCTTCCAAAGTTCTATCAAATGACATAAAAGCCCAACAGAAATCCCCAGTGCATTGTGATTTTTTAGCCTGAAACACAATCCCAGAGTGATGAAGCAACTGATAAAAAATACTTACAATAAATAATCTGGCATTTCTGAAGTTGATGTTGGTACACTAGAATTATTGCATGTTCCATTTAAACCTGAAAAAATAAAGGCTTGTTTACAGATGTTCTTAAAACTTCAAAGCTCTTTGCAATTCAGCTTCAAACTCACGAACTTGTCTGCAATACAGGGTTTATGGAATTCTAAAGGATTTCTGTTTTGCTTGGAACTGGCAGGAGACAGAAGAGCCACAACAAGGTGGCCAAAAGTTCAAGGCTCCTCTACTATTTGTCTGTCAGCAGAACAGCACCAACATCAGCCAGTGCAGGAAAAAAAAAAATAATCTGGATTTAATTGGTGTATAAACAGTGCCTGGAGTGGGATAACACTGATAGCACCGCTGGGAATGGGAAAAACACGTTCTGGTCCAGAGGACAGAGCTGAGCAAGGTGAACGTTCTTTTTCTCCCCCTTCCACACTTCATACACATTCCCAGGTGAATATTCCAGCTGCAGACTCCTGGTATTCCCAGGTTTGCAGGGAATGCAGCTCTGTCCTCACACAAATCCAAGCGCTCCCAGCTCCAGGAGGTGGATTCAGCATCAAGAAAGGCTCAGCTAAGAACGTTCAGGAGCTCCAGTGATGCAAGCAAAGACCTCAGGGGGATCAGGACTGGGAGGGAGCCTAAACCAGACCCATCCTCAGGGGAGAACAAGCACTGCAGGGGGAATCTGGAGGAAGAAAGCAAGTGGATGCAGGTTTGGAAAGGGGGTATTTCTCACAAACTGTGGGTTATGCTCCCAAGGTCCTCAGCAGAGTCAGCTGCACATCAGCTGAGTCAGCAACAACCCCATCAGATCTTTTTTAAAAATGGTTTTTTACCCCCGAATTTCTGCAGAAAAGCTTTCCTGGGCAGAATGAGAGAATGGCACCAACCCAGGGTTTATAAAACACACCCCAGTCTCAAATTCCCGCTGCAGACAATCCCGGGTTTCCCTCCTTTCCTGCCCAGGGCATGGAAGGCACAGGATGTGGTCTAAGGAAGGCTCAAGGACCGAGGAGGAGAAAAGGGAGACAGGGAGGTTTGTTCTGCCTGTGAGTGCCACCTACTGACGCTGAGAGGACCCCAGAGGTCCCGGGAGAAACTTCCACTCCTAGTGGGAGATGAGCTTCGAGGCCCCTCCCAACCCAAACCTTCTGTGATTCCATCAAACAATTTCCCTTCAGCTCTCGGGGTGGGGAGGGGGAAGTGGGGAAGGAGCAGGACGGGGCACAAAGGCACAGAAGGAAAAGCTCCCAGTTCTGGATGTCCAGGATCCAAGCAGGACTGACCACATCCTGTTTGTGACTGCTCCCAGTCCAGCTCGGGATTCGCTGCCTCTTAAACAGCAGCAGGAACAAGACCCAACTAATTAACAGAAATCCAATCACTAAGCTGTGAGGCCAAGCAGAGAAGGTGGGGAAGGCTCAGCAACTTCAGGATTTGGGGGATTTGGGCAAAAAAAAAAAATTAAGAGAGAAAACAACAGGGAAGAAAACCAACACTCCCAGAAAAAACTGGGATTGACACCAGAGAAGGTTAAAGTAGAAGAATTATCTAAAAAGCTGATCCTGCAGTGCCACACAACCCATGGACCGTCCTCAAAATCACTGCTGAGACACCAAAATGCTTTTGTAGGTGCTACAAATACTGTGGAGAAGGTGAGAGCTGATACCAGCTCAGCCTCGGGGCCCTGGGAATGGCTCCCTTTCCAGGAATCCAACAAATTAGTCCCCATTTCAAGATACTGTCCTTTTCTGGATGATTTTCACGCGCCAGGCACGAAGAGGGACGTGGAAAGCAGCAGCAGCGCAAAGGAAAACGAGATGGATTCAAAAAGAAATTTCAAAGATACTCCCAGAGGCTGCAGGGGAAGTCCCAGTGCTCTGGGGAGCTGGAACAAACAGCAGAGAGCATGGAAGCAGCAGGAAAGGGAGTGGATGGGATTAGCCAAGAGTTATTCTCTGCTCTGGCTTCTAAGAGCTCAGAGAACTGACTCTGAAACAGTGGTTTATGGGAAAATGGTTTTTGTATGAGATTCACTGTTGTGTCAGCCCTTGAATAAATAAATTCAGAGTCCAAGTGGGACACGAGGAAGCTCTTCCAGGCTGGAAGAGCTGGTTGGATACTGCTTGAACAGGCATTTATCACCAGATTTATCTATCTCTTCCATTTGTATCCAATACTAAAAGCTTTTGTGACTAACTTTTCATTTAAAAAAAACCCAAAAAACCAAACAACAGTCACCACAAGCGCCGTGAGGAGCTGCTCTTCCCAGGTCTCGCTCCCTGCCTTTCATCCCCACAATATTATCCCGGCTTTTAATTTAACCAGGAGCAACATGACACGCTCTGAGGCAGCTCCAAACAGCACGAAAGGTTAAACAGGAAAAACCTGATATCCTCTTTGGAGAGGAAGGCCATTTGGTGATTTGGGAGGCAGGACAGCGCTGGCATTCCGTTCCCCGCGGTCTCTGGGAGCGGACAGGACGTGCTCCCTCCGTCCTCAAAGGATCCGGAGCGGGATCCACACCCAGCCAACACCGAAATTACCTCTCAGCCCATCCTTACCTGTGACCTGCTCCTGGGGAACACTACCTAAGTCAGCGTTTTTTATTACTTCACAGTTCTGCTTCTCCTCTTTGCACTTCTCCTCGCCCTTCTTCTCCTTCCTCTCCTTCTCCTTGTCTTTGTGCTTTTTGGATTTTTTCTTGGATTTGACGTAGGAGCCGCAGTTGTGTTTGCTGGTCTGGGGACAGTCTGTGGGCGGGGGGTGGCTCAGCCTGTCCGTGGGCTCGCTGCTCTCACAGTCTCTGCCGTTGTGAGCGGGGTCGTTGCTCACGTCCGAGAGGGGGTCGTGAGGCCTGGGCAGCTCCAGGGCCGGGAGGTTGGAGCTGGAGCTTCCCGACTCCGGCAGCGCCGGCGGCGGGGCGGGGGGGGCAGGGGGGATGTCCTTCCCGTTGGATGAGGAGCTCAGCTTCCCGTTGAAGGTGGGCTGGGTCCTGTGAGCCAGGTGCGAGATCCTGGGCTTTTTGTTGGCCAGGGGGTCGATGAACTCCAGAGGCTGGGATCGTTTCTGAGGAGGGAAAAGGGGAAAAAAAAAAAAAAAAAAAAAAGCGAATGAGGAAGAGGGCTCGAGGGTTGCCACTAGGTGGGGGTGCGAGACAGGGAAGAAGGGAGTGTTCCCGGGGAAAAGCAGCTGATCCATCCCCCAGCTGCTTCCTGACAGCCTTGCAGAGCCTACAGCTTGGTGGGAGAGCTTAGAGGATCCCACCATCCCATCAGGAATCCCTGATCTCCCACACTATCCACACCACCCAGGCTGCTCTCACTGCAGCCTGTTTCAAATCCAGCCCTTTGGAATTCAAACCCCTGCAGCCTCCCCCTGTCCCAGCCAATTAGCAGAGGTTGGAAACATCCCTGGAAGCGTCCAAGGCCAGGTTGGAGCAACCTGGACTAGTGGAAGGTGTCCCTGCCCATGGCAGGGGGTGGCAGTGAATGAGCTTCAAGGTCCCTCCCAACCCAAACCAGTCCGGGATTCCATGATAAAAACATCTGTCCTGGTCACAGGCACAACACTCAGAGCACCCCAAATCCCCTGCAAAGGGAAAACGTGCTCAGGGCTGCGGAGCAGGGAGGGGGATTTACCAGTTCTGCATTTTCTTCCCCCCCCCTCCCCCTCCCCAGCTCTGTGGTCACCTGCAACCCACTCCTTCCTCTTCTCAAGAGCCAGGCATTGCCCGGAAGAGCTGAGGAAAGCGCCAACTGCTCAGTTCTCAGAACTTCAGGCAAAAAGGGGACATTTGCAGCACTTCAAAAGCCACGTCACAGGGGCCAACGTGACCCGAGTGACCCTTTTCTGAACAAGGGCAGAGAGGGAAGCTGTTCCCAGCTGTGCCCGTCAGCGGGGCTGTCACAGGCAGGGTTTGTCTGGAGCAGCTCCACGTGCCCACACCGCCCTGGAGGCAGCTCTCCAGCCTGGAAAAGCTGCTCCATGGAAGAACCCATCCATCAGGCAGCAGAACCCAGAGCCAGAACCACAGCTGTCGGGCTCAGCCCAGCGTGTGCCAGCCAAAATCACCTCGGCCGGCCCTCGGTTTGTGCCCACCTGGCAGCTCCAGGGCTGCAGGAACTCTGAGCAAGGATTGTTTAGTGCCCAGAGGAAAACAAGCGACAGTTCTGGGTATTTCTTTTGGATAATTCGCTGTTTTCCTTCTGTCTCAGGCAGGGCCGTGAGGTGTTTGCAGATGGAAATGCTGCTCCACCACAGAGGTGATGGCTCGAGGAGCCCCTGGATTCACTTCCTTCTCCCCCCTGGTTGTTACTCCTCTTTGCTAACTCAGGGGTCTCCAGGACTCTGCTCCGTGCCAGGGATCCTTCCCACCTGTCAGGGTGATTAGGAAGAGGAGCTGCTGCTGGTTGTGCCACTGAGCTCCAGGGGCAAGGCCAGCACGTCCAACCGGCTTTGCAACATCACTTCCCAGAACACGCAGTGTCCATCTCCCAGAGGAGGGGCCACCTGTGACTGCAGCTCTCAGAACAGCTCACCAAAAACCCCACCAAACTGCCCTATTTTACCCAACAGACACCAGCTTCACCTCCCTGGTTGGGAGGTGTACGTGCATCCCACTCCTGCTCAGCCAGGCTGCCTCACAATTACCAGGCCAAGCCTTTTGTTCCTTTTAAACACCCTCATTCCGCAGCTGAACTTTCCCAAAATGTTCTGCATTCCACACTACCAAATCCCAGTCCCCTGCTGGCGCTGCACCCATTAGCAGCCATCCCTTTCTGAACAGAAACTTTTCTAAATCCAAACCAATCGGCCAATCCTCCCAAGTTTCAAACTCCAAAGACCCAAAAAACCACCCCCTGCAGACCTCGGAGTCTTTCAGCCTGAAGCAAGATGATTTTTCAACCTTATTTTTTTTTTCCCCCAGGATCACTTAAAAATCACACAAGCCCGGCCTGTTAACAGCACTGCGTGTTTCCAAGCTAACTTGAAGGTGATCTTTATTCCCCGGGAACATGCCCACAGCAGAGCAGGAGAGGATTTGGAATTAGCTACCTGGCAAACGAGTTACACAGTCCTTGTTCTCAACAGAGAATTGCCTCCCTCTTACTGCCAGAAAGCACATAATTTCTTTACCTGCTAATATTCTTTGCCACTAATCCTCAGTGCGTCTGTCCAGACAAGTAGGAATTACACATTCCATTGGCAGGAGAAGAATAAATACTCAACTTGTCTGGGCTGACCCCACGGTGGGGAAGGGAAGGAGGCAGTTTCACAACGTGAGAAACGCCTGTGCTGAGAGGACAGTGGGAAAAGTGGGGACAGACTCTGCCTGACACACACACACACCCACCAAGCAGAGCTCCTTTGAGGGAGGGGATGGTGTTTCTTCTCATGGAAAAAACTTGGTTTTTTCACAGCTCCACACGCACTGGCATCTCCCCTCCAAGAGCAGCCCGACCTGCCCCTGCATCTGCCACAGCAATTGGGCTGCAGAAGGTCAAAGATTTTAATAACTCGAGCGCTCTGGGGAGCTGCTTATTAATGGCTTCGTTCCACTCAATTATTAGTGATGAGGAAAACACGAGCTCCTTCTCCCAGGAACTCGGAGAGGGATGTGGGCACCGGCAAAAGAATTCAGCCCTTAAAACCGAGCCTGTAAGGGATTCTCCCCACAGGCCCTTGCCAGAGGAGAAACAGATGCTGAGGGAAGCCGGAATCAGGCTCCAACTTAATAAAACAGGGATAAAACCCCAGCGACCTCCCGACCCGCCAGCAGGTGATTACGGGGTGCAGACAGGCCACAGCTCCGCCTGGACACACCTCCAGCAGCCAAATCCCTCAGGAGCAGCTGGATAACCAGGGCTGGGCCCTCCACCTTGGGATCACCCACCTGAGGGGGAGAGCTGGAGTTCACCGTGTCCTTGGGAGGGCTCAGGGAAGGGGCTTCTCCTTGAAAACCGCTGCTGTTCTGGGGCTGGCAGAGCTTCCTGCAAAACAAAGAGGGTGGGGGGTGGTCAAATCCCGCGCCCTGGCGAGGCAAGGGGTGGCATTTCGGGTCTCCCTGTGGAGGAAGGAGTCTTTTTTGGGGCTCGGGATGAGATGCTGCGAGAGCTCGCAGCTCTGAGCCCGGACAAAATCCAGGGAGGAGAAACTGCTACAGGGAAACATCAGGGACAAGTGGCAATTCCTCCTCTCTTTCCTGCTTTCTTTCCCATTCTGTGATTCTCTGGGAATGGAGGGAGTAGCACTGCCAAGGAAGAGGCGAGGCTGAGCTCTGGGACGCAGGAGAGGTTTCCCTACCGAGGATGGAACGGATTTCCCAGCATTTTTACCTCTTCCCTCTTGAACTCGTGATGTAAAGAAATTACAACAAATTAATGGCAGCCTCGGGAACGTGATCCACGTGGAGATTAGCAAAACTGGCACTGAATTTTAAAGTGTAAAGGATATAACACATTATTCCTCTGTTTGAAATACAGCTCAGTAAGTTAATTTAACAAATTTCTGCTGAGTTTTTGCTTTACCCAGTTAAAAGTGACTTCAGGAGACAACTCAGAAAGCAAAGCTCACTGAGAAGGGGCTGAAACTCAAGGTTAGATGTTAAGGAGTAAGTTCTCCCACTCATCAGCATCATTAAAACAACATTTTATGGGAACAGCAGTCCTTTTCAGCAGCGAGCCCCTCTGGGTCCAGGAAAAACAGGATTATAACAGGAACTGTTGAGGTATTATTGGTCCACTAGGATTTTCATTTAGGGCTTCACAATAACACTTTTAAGTTGCATCATGCAAAAACAAAGCTACTCTGGGCTGTATTTGTGGTGTTCGACAAATAAGAGAAACCTCTTGTAGCAAAAAACCAAAAATACAATTACAATCACTTAAGTGCCTTAATTCCCCTTCAGGCCTGGTCTCTGCTCCTCCCCAGATCTTGGGAGTATTTTCCCAGCCCACCAGCTTTGCCCAGACTGTGCCTGTATTAATCACCCAGAAAAAAAAAACAAAACAAAACAAAACTACTGTTGCATCAGGTTGTAGCTGAAAAAAAAAAAACAAACAAAAAAACTGGAGGAAAAAAAAATTCAGGGTTAAAGGTTTTTAATAAAGTAGCTCTGCAGTCAGTTTGTCACCAGCTGTGGAGCCTAAATAACCGAGGTCTAAATTCTTCCACCAGAAAACTACAGTCAGCATTAAAGCCTGTATTTTTCAAACATCAGGGAGATTATTTCACAGATAACGCCCATGACTTGACAAGATTTTGCTTTTAACCTGAGCCTGAACCTCGGGTTGTATTGCAGCAACATTTACACATCATTTAGTCACAGCCAGCCCCGGCTTTGTTTAATTTTCTTTAGGACAATCTCAGCAGCTCAAGGAAAGTACTCGGGGATGGTGAAGTTGCAGAAACACCCCGGGGGAAAGTGGCTTTTTTGGGGGCTGGGTCATCAGCCTGAGTGACCTTCTCATTGTCAACTTGTGGGCTTAAGCAGCTCTGACAGCTGAAGGTTTCATGGAATCCTGCAATGGACCATCCAGTGCCATGGGCAGGGACACCTTCCCTACCTCAGGTGGCTCAGGGTCTCGTTTTCCATCAACAAGAAGGATGGAAAACACAAACAGGAGGAAAAACCCCAACCAGCAGGGTTAGCTCCAGCTCCACCATGTGCAGATGTGCCAATCACTGCGGCTGCTGAACCATCCAGTGGCCACTGGCCCTGAAAAACCAGGAGGACACGGAACAATTGGTTGGCTCCAGGCAACGAGGGCGACGTAAATCCAACGTCTGCTGCCGCCTGTGCCCTTTTTGTGGCTGTTTTTCTTGTGTCTTCAAACCCCTACATGTTTGGTTTTTTTTTTTTTTTCCATTTTGGAGCCTCATTACCTGCATTGGCTGAGCGGGGCTTTGTTTGTACAGTTGAATACATCCTTTCCAAGGTCTATTTTTAGACCTCCTCCTAACTGAACGCCACAATCCCAGAAAAAAAAAAAATAAAAAGGCAGTAAACATGGCTTTCTACAGGGAGAAATTCACTGGGTTGTTTGAAAGCCATAAAGATTGCATGGCAGTTATGGCTCTCCTTTTAATTATAATTTAACATCGAGGCCATTTAAAGGAGTTTGATTTTCCTTCAGCACACCAGAAGCACTTGGAGTGCAACTTTCTGTTGGTTTAGTGAAGTTTCATCTCCAAGTCAACTGCGCTTTTAAATCATGGGAACTGCTCAGACAGAGCTGTGTTTGTTTTTTTCGCTTCATCTCAACCAAAAGTGCAATAAAATAAGGCACAAGTAAAAGCTCTGTCTGCACTACAAAGGCATTGAAAACCCAGAGAGGGAAATACAAACACTCAGGGAAAGAATTCTCCTGGAGAAACCTGGGAGATCTGGGCTCTCTCCCTGCTGCCTCCCAAGCTTGGAGGCTTCACTTAAAGAAAAAAAAAAAATATCTGTAGAGGAAAAACACCTTCAGCAACTAAGGATCAAGTGGCTGTGTTAAGGGGCTGTTTTCAGGAGGGAACAGGGATCCCTTGGACGCAGAGGATCAGCAGCAGGACATCCAGCACGTATTTTAGGGGGTTTATCCCTAGGGAACTGCCTCTGCTTTTCCATGCATCCCTTAACTCCAGTCAGATCTGAGCCTCAGGGATGTGGCTGCCTGGAAACAACTTCTCCTTTGCTTTTAAACACAGGAAGACACGTGCAAGGAGATGTGGGAAAAGGGAAGGAGACTTCCAGTGCAGAGTGGAGCTGGACACACTTCATTCTGCCAGCTCTGCTCCTCCCTATCCAGGTTTTCCTCAAGCTTTTAGGAGAATGGTTTAAAGGCAACCCAGGACCACCTGAAGAGTGGATCCACTTGGATATTCAACTTTAGTCAGCTCCTGCTCCATCTGCCTGATGTTAAAACGAGTCAGACACTCAACTTTCACCCCTCTGTTACTTTGATTTCCAAGCTCCAGGTGAAATTAGGGAGAATATGGGATAATTACCTAACCAGGATCCTCTTCAGCAACTGCTGATCTCCTTCTGAGTAGCCAGGCCAGTCCTTCTGCACTTCTTTGTATACACAATCCTTCAGTGTGAAAGTGCTGTCCTTGGCACTCAAATTTGCCACCTGAAATAGAAGTGATCCGTAAAAAACACCATCAGGGTTTCAATTTTCTCACTTGTTCTGACAAACAAGAGCTAAGACGAAGGCAAAATCTGAGCAGACTGAGCAGTTAGTAGTGTCAGAGAACAAGGGCTTCGATGTTTCATTTCCTAATCATTAAGATTATTTAATCAAGCTGTGCCTTCCCTTCTGCCCTGCCACTGCAATAATTCGTAATGAGTTCCTAAAGCACATCCAGTTTAAGTGGGAAATAAGTCATATCTAAAGAGATCATTCAGGTTGGGTAGCCTGGACCAGCACAACATCAGTTTATGGAAATACCTGGAAATAAACCCTAATGGGAACAGGCAGTTCTCTTATCACACCTGTGCCACGGCCAAAACGGGGCAGTTTATGGCCCAGAGAGGAACTCCTGTGGCCGTAATTTAGTTAACAATTGCCAGGAGACGTTTCCTCGCTAAACCAGCCAGGGAAAGAGTTGACAGAGAGCTGCTTTTCTCGGGGAGCAGTGAGGAGAATGCAGATCCACTGGATTTCCCAGGGAGAACCTTCCCAAGGGTACTTTGGGGGGCACGAACAGAAGGTGTGGTTTGCAGCCCGGGCGCCATGGGGAGCTCAGCACACGCTGCCTGACGTCTCATCCAGTCCTACCCCTGTGGAGCTTCTCCCCACAAAGCCCTGCATGGATAGGAAACACTGCTGGAACGGGCAGGATCGGATCAGGATGGAAAACAACTTGTTCAGAGTTATCCCACTTGGGTCAGTCTTTCCACGGCCTGACTGAAAATTTAACTTCTTGCTGCTGCTGCTGGTTGCATATCTGAAAAATCCAGCGTTGGCACCAAGCAAAGAGCCCCAAATCAGGCTTTCCCTGACAGTGAACCTCCCTCAGGTGATTCAGAGAGTCATGGAATGGTTTTGGGTTGGAAAGGAACTTTAGGCTCATCTCATTCCATGGGCAGGGACACCTTCCACGAGCCTGGGTTGCTCCAACCTGGCCTCAGACGCAGGGATGGGGCAGCCACAGCTTCTCTGGGCAGCCTGTGCTTGCAGAGCACTGCAAGTTTAAGAAGAAAATAAAGCCTTAAATGTGTTTTTGAAGGGGGACACAAGAGGCCCAGGTGCCCAAGGCTCTGCCCACTGCCGGGCTGATCCACTGGCCAAGATTCCCGGCCTGAGCCCCCCTCAGCTGTGGAGGGGCTGTTACACCCTCGAAGATGGGAGATGTTTTTATTCAGTCCATGGAGATAACTGTGCCTCTGTTCTGGGATTACTGTCCTCCAGGGCTCCCTCCATTCAGGAGATGGTTGTGCTCAGGGATTTTTATTATCCACGCAGTAGGAAAACGCCTCAAAAACAAGAGAAGGAGGGGGAAGTCTTGAATTCACTGAAGATGCTGCTAATTCCTCTGCTTTTGCTTTGGGGAGACTATGACCAAATATTAAAAAAATATTAAAAATCGAGGCATTTCAAGGCAAAAGAGCTGCACAAGTAACACAGCAAACTCTCCTGATAAGAGCAAAATAGAAAGCCCAGTTATCGGTTTACACGACCAACACTTTGTTTTTCCTCTCAGTTCTGTCAGCTTTCCAAAATCCTGAGCCAAAACACAAGAAGAATTTGAGCTGTGTTTTACACTGAGGTGTCCCTGTAAACACACACCCAAGAGACAAAAGCAAAGCCGGGTTCTTTTTCAAGAACTCTCCCAGAATTTCTCCGGTTCCTGCCTGTTTCTGGAGCCCCGGGAAGAACAACTTGGATTTTTTTTTTTTCTCTCCACGGAGCTTGAGAGCTGCTACCTCCTTGTTTTGCTCTTGTGTGGGACTCTGGAAGCTCCACCCCAGCCCTCCCAAAAATAGAAACCTTGCAAAACGAGGCAAAAAGGCCGTCAGGAACACGGAGTCCTGCGAGAGATGCAAGAGAGCACAATAAAACCCCACACCTCCACGGATTTAGACGTGCAGCTTTAACACAGCCTGTAATTTTTAGCTTATCTGTGTCTGCTGGTGGATGGGAGGGAGCCCTGGGAGGGCTGAGAGGGATTAACTTTACGAGCAACGCGTTTCCAGCCAAATCAGCATTTAGGCCAATCAGGGGCCCCGTGGCCGCGGCCGCACGCGCCGCTTCCCTGCCGGGGCTTCGGGGGGAGCATCGCTCCAAAGGGATCATCAGAAACACAGTTCCTAGTCTGAAACCTTTCTCAAAAGGTGCTCCAAAGAATACCCAGCACTGCTAGAAAAAAATAAAAAACGAAGGCTTGCAGGGTTAACATCTTATAAGGGAAAGGAGCGAGTTGTGCCGGCTGGGGCTCCGGTTTTAATGTGACCTGCCCCGGGCAAACCAAGTCCTGCCTCGGTGTTTTCAGCTCTGGAAAGGAGTAAAATACAGAATATTTTCCAGGATATGTTCCAATACAGAAGAGGGCAGCTGCAGCACTTAAATAAATAGCCACGCTGTGTTTAAGAAAGCAATAAAGGGATTGACTGCAAGGCCTAAAATGGCACCTTCAACGTGACTCCAAGTGTTAGGAACTGATTCAGCTTGGAGACGGCTTTCACACTTGACATACCAATAATGTGCATGATCTTCACACCTAACCAGTGGCACTTCCAAGCAGGAAAGGCTCAGAGCAATAAGAAAAAAAAAAAAAAAAAAAAAGAAAAAAAGAGGGGACATCTTTTTCCCCTCACACAGAAAACCACGTCCCAACATAGAGCGTTGCTCCTCTACGTCCATGAGAATAAAAATACAGACATTGACAGGTTACAGCAAAGCAAGTAAGTTGGAGATCCTCTGTCAGACAATCCTCCCCCACGACCAAGCAAAAGTGTTCTGATCTGGTGAGCCAAAATCATCCAGCTCGGTTGCAAAACCCCCCTAACCCGAGGCGTAGCCACGGGAGGCTCCTGCTATCTCTGCGACAGCACCAGGAGCTGGGAACTGTGTCACCCACGGCCTTTAGACACACTCAGCTGCAGTTTGGAGATAACAGGTTAAGACTGACCCGGGGAGGGTTCTGAGAAGACATTTCCCTTTACCTAAAACTCGTCGCCTCCGCCAGAGAGTACAAACCTGTTGCAGAAGGTTATCCAGCAAATCCTTGTCCTGCTGAGAAAGTCCATCCTTCTGCAATCTGAGAATAAGTTCAGGTTTCTTATAAGGCTTTAGTGCCAGTAAGTGCACAACCCTATCTTTGAAGGGTCTCTGAGAAATGGCACTATTGCCTCTCTTTATTGCACTGGCAAGGTTGACTGGCGTTGGGCGCTTCCTGGAGGGAACAGCATCGGAAGCTCCTGGTGCAGGTTTACGCACCTGAACCTTTTTGCCTAAAATGAGATGAGAATAGTGAACTGCAGCAGTCACCTTGCAAAAGGCCAGTGGGGCTGTCAAAACACGCGTGAGAGAGTTCATCATGCCCCCTCTGAAGTGCCACAAGATGACAAGGAAGGACAAAAAAAAAACCACAACCAGCACACACCCCCTTCTGCTCCGGCACGGAACGAGCATCCCCATGAGTTTTATGGTTCATGACAAGCTCGTAACAAGTAAACAGCAACACCAAGCTCTGGAAACCTGAGCATTATTGGCCACCAGCTTACATAAAGCTCCCTTTGTTTGCCAGCTTTTCATTTATCCCAAGTGCACGTATCCCCCATGGTTAATCTAACTATTCCCCCCCCCCCAAACTATTCTCCCCTCCCCTACGAGAAGAAAATTCTGCATTTTTATGTAGAAGAGTGGAAATACGGGGTGGAAAGACCAGAACTGGTCAACGAGCGGCTCCCCGCTGCTGAGCTCAGCAAAAACGCTCCTCCAGCAGATGTTTCTGCTTTTAGAACAATAGGAACTTTATGGGGCTGGGTCCACCTCCCTTCCCCCTCCAAACACGGCCCCATGAATGGGGCTGACACTGGGCCATCAGCCTATTCATCAGGGTGCTGCCTGTGCTCATAGAATAACCCCTTCCACCCTGGACTAAGAGCTGCTTCAACCCCTCCAGTTGAGCTTTCAGAGAAGTGAGAACATAAAAGCTGCCTCAAAAGCGCACCTCAGCTCCCTCGGCGTGCTTCCTGGCTGCTGACAGCACGATCCAAGAATTCATTTACCCCATCCCCATTCCCACCAAAAAAACAGACCCTCGCACCAGCCCCACAGCAAAAGAACCGGGCTGTTGTGAGCACAGCAGAGGGTCCCACAGCCAGGTTCCTGCTACCAAAGGCAAAGCGAGGCAAAGCTGGGAGGAAAACGAGCAGGGTTCCAAGGTCCTGAAGGCCGTGGAGGCACAATCAATAAATCACTCGGGGCTGGAGAGAAAGTGACCTTCTGCCAGGACAAACAACCACCCAGCATTTACTTGCAAGCGTTTCAGGGGGTTTATTCCAGGATGGCACTTCTCCACTGCTAGGAAGCGACAGTTTTCCAACTGAGTCATCTCTGAAGATACTGGGGATTGTCTGCACTGTTTGTTTTACTGAGCTGGGATTGCGTAACCCAGGCCCCATTTCCTGGCTTTTTTTTTTATTACACACACCGGCAGTTGCTCCGAGCAAGCAGGACCCAAATCTCTTGTCAGGAGAGGTGAGAGGCAAGAACAGCAATTCACACCTTTAAAAACCACCCCCAAAAATCCAGAGGTCAACTGGATTTTCGTTCCCAGCGATTGGGACAAGAGAGGATTCGTCAGCTTTCTAGAGCTGCCTCAACTCCTGCCAGGTCATGAGCATTAAAAAAAAAAAAAAACACACACACTGGGAGGGTTTCCACTTGAGGCTGGAGCCAAAATGTGCAGTGATAGGAAAAGAAAGAAAGGAAAAAAAACCAAAAAAAAAAACAACTGAGTTAAGCCAGAACACAAAGGATTTTAAAATATTTATGCAGGTGCATGGATATGGATGCACACACACGTTTGGTGTGGGTACAAGCACACACATCCCCTGCAGGGTTTTACCTGCAGGCATCTATTTACACATGCATTTATCCAAGTGCCAGTTCACATCTGTGAGTTCTGCTGCTCTCCAGTTTCAACATTTCCTATAAATTTTTCCACATCTGAGCTGCCTGGAATGACTCCACTGCCGCTGAAGTGCTGAGCTCCGTGTTCTCATGGAAATGTGAGAGCCAGCGCTGTCCCTCCAGCCCGGCCTGCCGGGAATGGGAATCAGCTGATGGTGCTGGCACACCGGGAAATGTGCAGATCCCACACCAGGACTGTCCTTCCAGGCTCTTCCTTCTTGGACCAGAGCGCTCCCCTCCCGTCTTCAACGCTGACATCTTATCTAGGAGCAGCCACTGCTTCCCCACAGCTCCATTTTCGGGGCAGTAAAGGGTTTTAGCAGGAGTATTTTTAAATCAAGAAGTTCTGCTCCCGTCTCCCCGGGAAGCAATTTGCCTTTTCAGAGCCTTCTCCCTCACGAGCCTCAACTTCATGCACTTACTGTAATGTTCTCAAAGAGGAGCTAAACAAAATAATCTTCTAGTCTACAGGAAATCAATGCATTTCCTTCCTGATTATTATCTCGTTTCTCAGCTTTGAGCACTTTGCCAGTTGAGTCAGGGTCAGCTCTACATTTTGCAACTCACCCTTCTCGTCACAGGTCCTCTGAGCAGTGACTGCCTACAGATCACATGGGCTGCAGGAAAAAAACAGCCGCCTCGAAAAGGACAAATACTGAAACCCCGCTTTCTGCTTCGTGTTTGCGCCCTGAGTTTGTGACCCCAAGTTAAGCAGGGCCCCGAGCCTAGAGCTGGGTCTCTGCGGGCTCCTTGTGATATTTGCCACAGTTTTACTTCCTCTCCTAAGGTTTTCCTTCTGTTGTCACAGCGAGGTGGTCTGCTCAGGCTGCTTTAGTCTCTCTGCTCATTAACACAACCTGCGGCGTGTCCTGGTCTGGAGCAGGCACACACCAGCTGTGTGTGACACGGTGGTGGTGGCACGTTTTTAGCTGAGCTGGCCATGGGCACAGGCACTGTGATGGATCAGCAGGGTGCTCCCAGCGTGACAGACGTGACCTGCAGCCAGCCAGGGATGTCACTGCACACACACAACCCCGGCAGAGTCCCAGAAGGGTTTGGTTTGGGAGGGACCTTAAAGATCACCCATTTCCACCTCCTGCCATGGGCAGGGACGCCTCCCACCAAGACCAGGCTGCTCTGAGTCCCATCCAACCTGGCCTTGGACACTTCCAGGGATGGGGCAGCCACAGCAGAGCCCTGGGATGGTGATGGAACCGTGAAGGCGACGCGACGCAAGGAGAGCAGCATTTAAACCAGACACCCACAAGGAACCACCAGACACTGCCATGGGCAAGCAAACAACGTCAGCAATGACTCTAGAACCTGAAGAAGACCCCCAAAAAACGGAGAGGGGGCTTACCTACGTATCTCCCCCCAGGTTTGATGACGATGGCGCTCCGGCTGCGCGTCTCCTCCTCGGCCTGTGCCATGCTCTGCCTCGCCTTCTGGTAGGAATCATCAGTAGCACACACAGTGATTTTGTCCTGTATGCTCCCAAGGCAATCCAGGTGGATGTTGCCATTGCTGCACAAAAAAAAAAAAAAAAAAAAAAAAAAAAAGAAAAGCCGTGGAGAAGATACTCCTGATGCTGCAAATGACACCGGGGGACAACGGGGGCTGTGCCAGTTAAATATTAGTGGGGGGACACAGAGGAGCTGAGAGGGAACTCAAATTCTTTCAGAGGTCAGGAGGGAACTCAGCTGCTTCCCAAAACCACACTCAAACGGATGAGAAGGGCTCTAAAATCGAGGGACATGAATTAAGCTTTGTTGAGGTTTGTCAGGGAAAAGATGCTAGAGAAGACAGGTTAAAAAGAAAGAAAAAGGCTGGGTTGGGGCTTGTTGGTTTTTTTTTTGGGTTTTTGTTTTTTTTGGAGGTACCACTCACCTGGATACATACTGCTGGATGCAGTCAAAGCTCCCCTGGGGGCTGTCCTTGCCGATATTTGAAAGGTAAAACGTGAAGGTCCTCACTTCCGTCGGTCGGTCGGGCCTTGGAATCGCGATGTGCTGTTGGGGAGAGGGGAGGAAACCATCAGCACTTGGGTGCCCCCAGGCTGGCACAGAACCCGGTTCTCCCGCAGCCACGCTGCTTTTCAGGCGTTTTGCAACCCACTGCAGGAAAAGCACCTGGATTTCTGCACAGGAGGGCGAGAAGAGCGAGAGGCTACAAGGAGAATTCAGGTTATCCCGCTGTGTGTGGACACGAGGGAAAGGGCACCAGAGACAGCACAGAGATGCGAGGAGGGGACTCGCCGCCTCTCCAACAGAGCCCACAATAACCTTGCTCCAGGAATCTGACCCAGTTCTATCGATTCAGGCTCAAAACACACTGTTTATATTCAATTTAAAACACTCAGGGCTTGTTTCTTTCGAATTAGCGAGCCAGCACTAAACATAGCACCAGCCAGGTCACTAGGTAGCACCCTTCTTCTTTTTTAAGATATTATAATTCCATAACGAGATTTCATGGCTCACAGTAGAGTGTGACGCTGCTGCTAAATTAAATATTTAATCAAGCATTAACTGTGCTCCTCAGACAACTCCACAGCCATCCTGCATTGTTTTTTCTTCTCCCCCCACCCCCCCTCACCCCAAGCCATTCATTTTTCAAAAGGGAAAACTCTCTCCCCCACTCTGCACTGGAGATCCAACGTAAATGCCAGCGCCTGAGCTCTACTATCACATCAATATTTGATAATTAAGATGGCTCCCAGAAAAACCAGACAGAAGGAACATCAGTTGCAAACCTATTTTTGGCTGCACCCGACCGCACGGATTTATATTTACCCGGATTGCCACATCTATGCAGAAAATACACACTCCCAGCAAAACCAGCCCGTGGCATCCACGCCTGACTGTGCCCAGGAAAGGATTGCTGCCGGGACAGGAGGGGGTTTTGGGTGGTTTCCTTTCGACCTCAGATGTCTCCAGCAGGCTGGGAAGCGACCCAGAGCATCTGTGCCCCTCTGCTTCAACAAACCGCAGGGCTGCTGCCAGAAGGCAGCGAGGAGCTCTGGAGCTGAGCCCCTGCAGCGCCCTCCCCGCCCTCAAACAGAGCTCCCTTCTTCCAAAGGCAAGCCCAGAAAGCCAGGCTCGAGCCTTGGGGATGAGTTATCCCCCAGGATACCTGGGGGCAGATTTGGTGGGGATGTGGGCGCTGCTGGGCCCTCCCCGAGGAGCCCCGTTATCTCCCCTTGCCAGCCTCGAGCCCTTTTAATCTGGCCCTGCGCCCTCTGCCCCCACCCAGGGCAGGGGAAATAAAATTCCCTTCTGGTTTTACAAGACCAGAGTCCTGTAACCAGCAGATTGGGGGTATTTTTGCAGATCAGCTCGGTGGGAAAAGGTAAATTCAAGGGGGTCGTTCCCCTTCCCGAGCCGCCGGTCGGGGGATCGAGCTGTGCTGCCAACAACTTCAGTTTGTAAAAGAAAAGCTTTTCTTCCTTGGGAGAGGGGGATATCTGCACAGAAAATTCCCACTCTTTTTTAAAACCTTCATCGTTCCAACTCGCACCGCTGCTTCAAAAAAATCCCCCTGACGGCACAAAAGCTAACGGGATTGCCCCCGGGAAGGAAAACAGGAAAGCAACCAAACCGTGTATTCATTCACACACCACAGAACTTTCTCCTCTCTCCTGATTTACCATTGGGGGGAGCGTGGGGAAACCAGTTGCTCCAGCAGCCCCAAATTTTGGCTTTTTTTTTTTTTTTTTTTTTTTTTGTGGAGTTCTTGCAGCTTTTTCTGAGGATGTAAAACGAGGCAGGAAGGCAGAGTCAGGTTAGGACTGAAGAGCGCGGTGTGCGAAACCCGGCCGTTATCTAGGAATTATTTTTAGCTGAAAAAACCAGAAGGTTTCTCAAGCCACCGAATCAGCTTCGAGGGGAGCCCCTAATTTTGGTGCCGAGCATTGCACCAGTAACCAGAGACACTTAAAAATAGCCCGGGTGCAGATGTGACTTCTGTTTCCCCTCTTTCAAGTAACATTCATCTGGGCACAGCCCGCTCTGAACGGAGGTTTTTCACCTCCCCTTATTAACACCAGCACAGCTTCATGCCCAGAAATGGGGGAATATATTGGATTTTCAAAAAGCAATGGCATTTTCCCCCCCAACAGTCACGTTAAAAAGCTCCCTGAACACACGTGTTTTTGGAACGTGAAGGGGTTTTTTTTTATCCCCCCACTCCCAGTTCAGTTCTTTCCCTTCTCTCCCCACCCCAAGCACCTGCAAATTTCACCCAACCTAAGCTCTGATTTTGAATGCCTTTTTTTCAGCCTTCCTTGTACAGTTGTGCATAACTATCACCACTTGTAACGTTGGGGTACTCGGGCTCTTAAATTCTAATTTAGGTGCACGTTGAAAAGAGCAAAATGGGCACAAAACCTTAAAAAAAAACGTCCAAAAAAGTCACTTTGTGATGAAAAACTAACAACCAGGTGCTGTTCTTCAGGCATGTCCCACTTTAGCACCTCAAAGCAGAGGAACGCTCTGCTCGTTACAAGCTGGTTACTACGGCTTGTAAATTGTGATTATTCCAAGGAATATTGCACTGCAAAAGCCATTAACGAGACCAGCACTGCTGTAGAGAAATGTATCCCAGGTTTTTACAAACTCCTGAGAGATTCCATCCAGACCAGGGTCCAGGCAGGAGGGTTTTTTTGTGCCTTGCCACTGGAACAGCTGTTTTATTTTGGGCTGGAACCCAAACCCCCCCTTTTCTAAAACACCTTCCTGATTGGGCGTTTTATTCCCAACAATTCCCTTCCCTGGTTAATTAGTGAATCAAACATGAAAGTTGCCTTTTCTTTTGTTGTTTTTGTCTATTGGAAACTGAAAGTATCCCTGACACTGGAATAGGTAAAAAGTAATTTAAAGGTTCCTGGAGAATTAAAGAAGCAGCACATTCCTATATATATAAAATATATATATATATATCACTGCAACATTCTTATTTTATGTCCTGCCTCCCCTAATCATCAAGTAAAGCTTTCCCTTCTTGTCAGAGGGATATTTGCACAGAAAATTCCCACTTATTAAACCCTCACACCACTGCTTTGCAATCCCACCGACAGCCGTGCCACGTACAAAAAGCCACCCCAGAGCCAAGTTTTTTGGGAAGCAAAATAGGAAGGCCATTGATTAAAAAAAAAAAATATATAAGCAGCTAAACAAACTGTGTTTTAAATGTCATCATCTGGATCTGAGAGCTTGTGAAATTCCTGGAATTCTCTCCGGGGTCCAGCTGATGGAGGATCCCTCGAAAGCATTTTCAAGCAGGAGAATCCTCAGAGCCCTGCCCTTAAAAAGCAGATGGTTCCCCAGCTGCCAGCTCCTTGTCATGCCCCCAGGAAAAACAATCCTGAAGGGACAAAGAGCTCTTTCTCCCTGCTCCCCTGGAGCTGGATCCCTCTTCCTTCACAGCTCTACCTTCGGCCTTTACTGGTGGGGTGCGATTAATTAACGAGCTGAGGCTCCACATCCTCCTCCTGCCCCCTTTTCCAGGGGCTCACACGCACAGGTAACCGGCAGCTCTCCCACCAAAAAAAAAAAAACAAACAACCCTCTCTGGAAGTTAAGGGCTCTTGATACAATTAACTGCAATAAATAATCGATTTTTATAACCTGAAAATACGACGCGTCATTTGAAAATAATCCCTCGCTACGATAAGAAACCAAAACTTGAGCAGCTTCGCAGGAAAAGTCAGGGGTAGATCCTCACGAGGTGCTCTCTCCCAAGGGAAAGCATTCCCAGTCTTTTATTCCTGATTACATGCAAAGCTGTTTCTCATCTAATAAAGGCAAATCCACACGCCCCTTGGAAGTTTTTTTCCCTCCGCTCGGCTTTTGATTTTGCCGGATTTTGATCTCAGCTTTCGGGGAAGTTTGATTCTAAACAAAGTTATTTAAAAAAAAAACAAAACAAACAACAACAACAAAAAAACCAAAACAAAACTGGAAATTGCTCCTTTCTGTATTTCCCAGGGCAAGGAGCTCTGTATTTTTCTTCTTAACTTACAATAACAATCATGTCTTTCCTGCTGTATTTTCTGTGTGCTATTAAGGAGAATAATGTCACAAAGTACTCTGTGGGCCAGGACAATGTGCTGCATTTCGTGTCTACCTAATTCAAGCCTTTCTGAAAGTTCTAGTGTGAAAATAAAAAGAATAAAAATGAGAAGCTGCTCACGGCTGAGTTCATAACTTTGCAAGGCAATCCAGGCACAAACTTACCCCTTGGCTTCCTTGGAACTGGATGACTGGTTTTGATGTCACAGCATCCTACAAAAAGAAAAAAAACAAACAACAAATGGAAAACCAAAAATTACACCTTGGGAGAGATTAAAGCTCCAACGCTCACCAAGCTCAGCTTGATTTTTTTTCACCTGTATTTTTTTTTTTTTTACTTTATATCGTTTTTAAAGGCAAAAGGTTCAAGGAAATACAGAGAATTCCGAGCAGGAAAACACAAAAAAAACTCCTGAGACAGCGATTTATAAAGGGATAAAAACTAAGGTGACCTTTGGTTCAGGAGAACAGCTCAGAGGTGACACTTCATCCCTCCCTACGCCACATTTCGGGCACAGAACAGCTCAGCCCAGCCTCTCTGCTGTTTTTATATAAAGTTTTGAGTTTAAAACAAATGGACACTTGAAGGGAAAATTTATTACAGATCTCGGGCCCGAGGAGACGCAAAGCAAATTTTTTCCAAGGGAACGCTTGGAAAAGCAAACTGGAGCTCCGCTGCAAAACCCTGTTGTTGCGCTGCCTGTTTCAACAATCAGCCTCTTCCTCCAGATTTCTTGGCTTACATTTAAAAAGTCATATTCCTGTGAGCTCCAAAACCCCCCTTAAATCTGCTCAAACCCGCCCAATTTCAGCCTTTTTGCCTTGCTGTGATTTCAGAAATCACGAAGGCTTTCGGAACTCCAGCCCTCACCTGAGGGTTTAACTGCAGGGAAAGAAATAACAGAACCCCAATTCCAGCCAGGCTGAGTTTTGATTTCTTCCAATTTCGGCAGAATTGGGGCCGTGAAGGTTTTATTTCCTAAATGCCACCCAACATGGGAAGCCCTTCCAAAGAGAGAAAAGAACTGACAAAAAACAGGTTGAAGTGTCATTTAGGAGTGAAAACGTTGCCATATACACGGGAAACACATTTCCGTGGGGAAAATAATCACCAGGAAGAGGCTGAGGACCCCAAGTCCAAAGGGGGTGTTTGTGTCACAGTGATCACGTGGATTCCCAAGGGATTGATTTCCAGTGGATCACAGAAAGAGTTAAACACCTTGAAACCCCTTGAAGTTGATCATCGTCTCTCACAAAACCTTTCCGAGAGTTCTCAGCCCCGGGAGCGAGGAAATCTCAGCCAGGATGTGCTGATATTAACACAAAAACGGACAAATTCACCAAGAAAATAAATCTCCAGCCCAAGACAAGAGTGTGAACCTTCCCAGAGCCCCATCCAGCACCGTTTCCCAGATGTGCTGCACACCCAAGACATTTATGACGCTGAGCGAGGCACGGACGCGCTCGGAGCCGACAGCGCCGGATGACGCGTTTTATAGACCCGAAACAACCTTTATAAAGCAACAATAAACAACATCTTGCTCTTGGTACAGAGATCAGTGGATTCCTCGAGTGCCACGACACTGCATTCCACAGCACGCTGTTCATGGCCAGCCCGGCCAGCTCTGCGTGTTCACCCCGTGCTCTGCAGCGTGGCCAGGAACTCCGGAGGAACAGAACTTGAGCGAAACAAGCATTTGAAACACGAAAAAAATCTGGATTTTTTAAAAAAAAAACCCCAAAAAAACAACAAACCTCCATGTGGTTCTTGTACAGCAAATTATAGATTGGTGGAAGTTCTGCTGGTCCTTCTGGGAAGTTAAGTGGAACAGAAAGAAGCACGGAAGCGGGATAAGGAGGCAGGGACAAAAGTCCTGCTGCACAAACCAGGACAAGCTTCAATTACAGAACTGACAAACTCCCCAGTCTGCAGATGAACCGGTTGGGAGTTGTGTGATATCAAGCCTGGGAGTGTTTATGGCGAAGTTGAGGCGCGTTTCCCAAGATTCAGCATTTTTAGGCTCCCCGAGCTGCCCTGTTTGTGATCCCCAGAGCAGGAATATCAGCGTTGGAACTCCCTGCCACGCTCCACACGCGGAAGACATGGATACTCTGCTCCAGTTTCCCTTTTTTAGGCAGGGAAGGGAAGGCTCCTGGCTTCTCAGCAACACCATCCCCGTACCTACACTTTGGGCATCACTTCCCCGATGTCCAATTCCCTGGCTACGGGTCGCTTGAAAATGCTCATGGAGGAGGAGAACACGTGCACAGCCTAAACGAATTAAGGATATGGATCCAAGTACTTTTATTAGATGAAATTAAATCCCTGCGTGGACACCTTCATCCAGAACACAAGCAAGCAGAGGAATTAAGTTAAACCAAATTAAGACCGCATTAGGATTTATATCTTCATTGGGATTAACTTTCTCGGACGTTCTTGCACGGAGAAACCCCTCAATTTCAAGAAGTTTTCGCTGCCACTTCCAAAATCCCTGTGTCATCCCCTAAAGAGTCACCCAAGAGTCACCTAATTCTTCTCCCTTGATGATGCCAGGACTGAACTTCCTGCCTTACAGTTCCTAGAAATGCCATTCCATCCACCTTTGGTGCAGGTGCCACGGATTTCAACACGCTCAGGGAGAGCAAAGCCCCTTTAAACACACCTAAAGAGGCAGGAATTCCACTCCTGCTGCCTGCTATTGTTCCAGCCCAAAGGCTTCCTGAGGCAGGGCTGGAAGGCTGGCAAAGCATTCCCAGGGCTCTGTGGGTTGCCAGGTCCTGCAGGGAGCTGTGGGAGTTTCCTCCCCGGTTACCGGAACGGCAAAGGAGCTGCTGGAACAAACCAAAGTCCTTCCCTGCAGCCCAACTCGCTGGTGCCCCCAAAGCTCTGCAGGAATCACTTCCAAAGGAACATCCCAACCGCAGCTTCCCCGAGATCTACCCCAAGTGGAACGACCAGCCCTGCCTGACTGGAAAACAGACCCTCTGAAGGGGGTCTAAACAGACCCCCGGTGTTTTACTCTTGTAAAATTTCGCTCATTTCCTACCTGGAAAGAGCATTTCCACACCTCCATGCCCAGTTCCCTGCCTCCCACAGCTCCTGCTGGATTCTTAGGGAACGGTGGAGAAATAAAGCAGCAAGTTTTCCAACACCAAAGCTCTGCTGTGGGACGCCAAGGCGAACCAAACGCCAGCGGACCCGAGTGCTTTTTGTCAGATTATTTCCGAAGCCATGAAGTCAAACCCCCCAAAACTCATCCCCAAAGCTCCCACAAGATATTTGGCTTTTATTATCACGGTTTTATGCTCATCCTCTGGATTCCCTGGGATAAAGGGGAGACAGCAAACCTTTACAGAGACTCTGGAAGCTCTCAGAGGTGGTGGCCACACACAAAGAGCTCCTCACACTTTAAAATACTCCAGATCTGGAAGCTGAGGAAAGAGCAGGAGGAACAAGAGGGTGTCAATAAAACACAGAAGAATTGAATTTAAAGTTAATAAAATACCCTATTAGGGATGATTTCCTACACAGGACACTGGAAATCCTCAGGTCGAGTAACCAGCTGGAAACCTTCCCATTTCTTCAGGGAAATGCAGATAATTAAAGAAGATGTTGTTTTGGGAAGTTCTGTCATGTATTTACTGGAATTCATACTGGAGGCAGTGTTCTATGGAAAATATTTGCCTAAACTTAGTATTGGTGTGTTTGTCCTGTTTTGTTGAACGTTCAGAGGCACAAATGCAACTGAAAATTTACCCTTATTTATGCTGGAACCGGGAGGGGGGTGGTGGTGGTGGTGGTGTTATTTTCAGAATTTAAAGCTTCTTGCAAACGGTTAAAATTAGTAGCAAGAATTCCAATAAATATAAACTATAAAATCCTGTTAACCAAGGCTGGCATTAAGGGGGTATTTTGAACCATCACGTGCGATTCCAGGTAAAACAAGTGCCCAGGTAAAGCTGCTGCGCCTCAGGAACCAGCGACAACGACGAGAACAAACAGAAAGAGCTCGAACTGCACGGATTTCAGGCTCTGTAATACCCCAAACTCCGAGTCCCTCTTTAATTCTTTGGTTAGGACCAGTTCATGTTTCTTTTGCCCACGCAGTGAGGTCCAAATATAGGATCAACTCCCCCCCCCCCCCCCGCTTCCTCTGGCTTCTCAGCACAGGGGGAATGAACAGGCTCAGATCCCAATCTGGGGGGGATACCCGGATCGAGCACACCCGGATACCCGGGAAAATCTCCCGCAGGGCTGAACAGAACCTCCAGATCTCCTTTTCCACTCCCTTTTTTTGTCTCCAACACATCCCCACGGACCCTGCAGAGCCAAGCAGAGCCCAGAGTCAAAGCAGATGCGCCCAGCCACAGACTCGTGGGAGACACCCCCGAGTCCCCGAGTTCATTAAGCAAGCAAGAAATACAAAATCCCAGGGGAAAGAAATACCTTGGAATACACACACAACTTCAAGTGGAGTCTGGGTGAAGTTTTACTGGCAGTCAATTAGCCCAGGCTGGCCCAGGAGAGAGCCACTGCACATCAGGGAGGGACAAAAGGCTTCTCTCCCCAGACGTTCCGCTATTCCAGGGCTTCTATTTACCCCCTACCAGAAACACAGCAGTAAAAAGCCTCCTGAATATCCCCCTTTTTTTTTTTTTTTTTTTAACGTCCCACCTATTCCTTAGGGAATTAAAATGCACCACGATTTCCAGCTGCAATTTAAGGGCCTCCCAAGGATCTCCCTTTGAAGTGGAGGCCACGGACAGATGGGGCTGAGTCTGCCGAGGCTCCAAAAAATCACAGCTTTGCCACTCAAATCCAACATTCTCGTGGGAAGAGCCCTGGAAATTCCATGTAAATCCACCACTATTGAGTATAAAGCCAAATTTTCGCTTCAGGGCGTGAAGGGCAGTCACAGGGATGCTGAGGATTGGCATTCACCTGCATCCTTCCAGGAGCTTCCCAACCAGGTTAATTTTTAAAAGAGGTGTTTTAGGTGGAATTTTAGGAGCTGGACGCTCCCCAACTGCTCCTGAGCTGCAGTTTGTATTTGTTACCATTTCCTCCTTTGCCTAACAGGCATTAATTGGCCACACCATCGCTGGTAACATTAAAGCAGGCTCTGCCCAGGAGTGCGAGGGGTGGCAACAAAAACGCCTGCAGAGCTTTTCTGTCAGCCAGGAACGCCACGCTGTACATCGGAAAGTTTTTA